TCTCATTTTATTTAGAGATATTAAAAAAAACTAAAAACCTCGGTGAGGGTGACTATGAGGGGCGGTCGCATCAGCGGAAATATAAACGAATTATGTCTTTTATATCTTATACTATCTATGGGCACCAAAACTTTTTATAAATCTACATATCCTCAGTTTTGAATAATCTGACTTATAACCCCCTCACGTGAGAGCAAAGAGTCAGAATTCCAGAAAGGATATATATTGCAATTTCAAATAGACAACATTAGATCATAGTTTCTATTAGCCCTTCAAGTTTATGGACCAAACCCGGCCGCGTAAGCAAGCCCAATTAACTCCCCCATAGACCGATTTTCGTCCACCAAACATGACGATACAACCATATAATATCTCTCTCTTCGCTGGCGACAGGCTGTCGCCAGCTCCTCCTCCTCATCCGCCTATAAAAGATACCCCCAGCTTAGGGTTTTGGGTTGCTGATTCTTCCCCCCTCTCCTCCGATTTCTTCTTCTCTAGGCGGCGGCTGCCCTAAATCGCAGAGGCGATTTTTCTCCAGCTCTCAACGGGAATTTTGAGGGGAGATTAAAAGAGAGATTAAGAGAGAGAGAGGAATTAAAGTGGGGTTTTAATTGTGGGGTTATTTTTCTCAAGTGAGAATTGAAAGGGTTCATACCCTTTGATTATTAACACTGTAGCTACAGTGTTTATTTGAGAAATCCCAGTTTAGGGATCTGCTCCTAAAATTGTAATTTCTTGTTGGATTAATAAGAAATTTACTGTGTGGCTCCCGAGGACGTAGGCAGTTGCCGAACCTCGTAAATCTTGGTGTACTGTTCTCTATACCGCGTTTCCGTTGCATTAGGGGATTTAGGCGTTAAATTCCCAACAAAGAGGCGCAACATTTGGGGGACAAAGCTTGTCTGCTAAGTTATAGAAAGGAATTTTGGCAGATATAATGTCATGTGATCCACGTATCCGAAAGTTTCTCGCTTGATTTTTATCTTCTTACCATTAATAGATATTTAATATTTGTCATGACACTCTTGATTTTCTTATTTATATATTTTTTTTCCGGTTTGATGAGAAAACTTTCTCACGATCTTTCCGACCATGTTTATCAAACCCATGGGTATGGCTAAAGGGCAGCCCCTAACGCACGGCCTTGAGTATTCTAGGAAATTAAATTCTTGCGGGTGCTTCCCAGCATAGTTGAACCCTGAGATCTTAGCCTACTACTTATAGGCAGCTTACCAGCTCGGCTAGACCCTGCTGGACCATGCATTTCCTCATTATTAGAGAATACAAAAAAAGAAAACGGGGTGAGGGGAGGGGGGGGGGATATAAAGCGAAGTTAGTCTTATATTACTGATCTAGGCAAAATTTTATAAATCTAATATCCTCAGTTTTGAAAATCTGATCTATAACCTCACGTGAGAGAAGAGTCAGAATTCAGAAAGAATAATGAATTTAAATAGAACATTAAGATCAGTTTCTATTAGTTCAAGTTTATGGACCAAACCGGGTCTCAAGCCCAATTAACTCCCCAAGACCCGATTTCTCCACCAACATGACGACAACCTATAATCCATATCATATGCAAAATAACTCGTGCATTCTTATTTTTAAATAGCTATGTTTTATATATAGTAGCAGCTAAAAAGTCCGAAGAGAAAAAACTGCAAAACGCCACACATGGTTAATTTATTTCTACCTAGCAGATCGAGCACTATTTACAACATTTGGCCGAAATAGCCGGGAAACATTTTTGCAGATAAATAACACCCGCCGCTGCTTTCTGCCATTATCACGAAAAGGTTTTTTTTTTTTTAATTATTTGCAAAATTTACATGGGCGAAGTTCCACTTGAAATTGTTAGAAAGTTTGCCCTGCATCCATCTCTTCAACATCTCTAGCGCAGCCTTTGGCTGATCCATCGGTACCATATGTCCCGCATTATGTACCTACGTTTGCGAAAAAGATGATCAGGAACTATGAAGCATGCCAACCAAACTTTATGTTAAATCTTTTTGAGGACTGAACTTCATAATTTAAAACAAAGAAAGACCTTGAGGAAACTGAGAGGCCCCCGGGTTTTCAAAACCCCAGCTTCCACGCCATCCACAATGAAAGATGTATTAGCCGACGACGCAAAGGCGTGCTGACCGGACCATTTCATTGCATGAACCCATCTCCAATTTCCTGTTCAGTTCAACCATCAAACCGTCGTTACTGATCAAAGAGCTTAATCTGTAGCGGGTTTCAATTTAGCGAAAAATTACATCGGACGACGCTAGTTGTCAAAGCTTACCGAGCCAGTTGCAGATAAAATCATATTCCCCGGCGTATATAAGCATCTTAATACCATCCTCAAGGAGTTCAGGGATACCCGGCTCCAAATTCTTCATGTGATCTGTGACCATCGCCTCGTTCACATTCCCGCTGCACGACACGAATTTCCTACGTCCGACTCCAAGAGAGTCCCTCACAAACTGCAGGTTGAGGAATTTTTCCACGTTTGAAAAATCGTAACAAAGCTCCCCTTCGCACTGCTTCCTTATGTCGTAAACCTGCGAAAGCCGACGCTGCGAGATTAAGGACCTACATATTCTGTAACCAAACGAAAGGAGGAAGGGAGCAGGGATGGTTAATTCCTCACGTTTATATTTCCAGCATTCCGAAGAGAGAGGCCGAAAATAAGACCGCAGACTTGTAATGCACGAGAACAAGAGTTATTTCCGTATAAACCTGTAAAAATATCTTTCAAACTGTTATACTCCAAAAATTATTGATGATATTCAAATGAAGGATGCAGCAAAGTGAGCCATCCATAAGGGCTGCAAACAGTCACCAATTGGCAGAACAATGGTCTGTGCAATAGTTCATACAGATTTTTACGGATTAATTGTGGACAGACCCCAAGTAGTGTCATAATTTTGAAGTTACTACCTCTTCTAATTTTTTTTTGGCAGATAGACCCCTGACACTTTGGGGGAAAAATAATTCTCTTTCTCTGGGCATAAAAGAGTCAAAAGAAATTCGCCAAATGTATCCTAAAAGTCAATTACTGCACCTTTATAATAACAGTTAGTGCACTTAACAGTCTAAACCTCTTGCATCCAAAAGCAGGACGTATGTTTATACCACTCAAGCGTTACATTTAAAAAGGCTAAATATCATAAAGCCCCCTTAAACTTTTGACGCTTATCAGATAACACCCCATATAACTTTCGAAATATTAGAAATTAATCCCTCCTATGTTAGGGGTTATCAGAAAGCCCCCTTCAACTTTAATCTTTTATGAGAACCCCCGCCAACAGCGTTAACTGCAGCTTAATTTCACTGGCAAAAATATCCCCTTGCGTAACATTAAGGGTTTTTTCCCCCTTGTATTTAGAACCCGATTTTCATTCTTACACGATGTAAAGTTATATTGACATTTTGACAAACAGCCGTGAAAATAACTAGTGAAAGATGCGGAGTAGCGAAATTACCACACTCTTTGACAGTTTGTTCACATCCTGGAATTAGCTTGTTAATTGACTCATACTCATCACGTTTAATGATTCCTTTCTCCAACGCAAAATCTGTGTATGATGCGTACTGGATTGCTGGATCAGTGAGTCCGTTACCAATGGCAAACCCCTACAAAAGTAGGTATTTTCTCGACGATGTAAGTATGATAGAAGTGGAGTTTTGAAATTGCAAATACGTAGATATACCTTAAGATTTATGTGAATTCCTTCATTATCTTTGTTTCCCTTATGAACTCGGCTTGCAAATGCAGGAATATAGTGCCCAGCATAGGACTCTCCTGTAATGTAGAAATCGTTCTTCACGAGCTCTGGATGCTCACCAAAAAAGGCCTGAGGGCATTAAAAGGTTAATTAAGTGGAAGTTAATTATTTGTGAATTCATGATCCATTTTGAGATGATCATCACATTCCGATTTTGGGAATATTTTGATTACCTGAAGGAAATCATAGAGGTCATTGCTCACACCCTTTTCACTGTGACGAGTATCACGCTTGTCTGAGCTATAACTAAAACCAGTTCCTGTGGGCTGGTCAACATATATAAGGTTTGATGCCTGCAAAAGTTTACAAATATATATATATTGGCCCTTTTCATAAAATTATAACAAAACAGTGCTAAATTTAACCTGACTACTTAAAGAAGAGTTCAGCGATCAATCTTGTATTGACCAATAACCTCATCGATCTAGCTGAACACGAGAAGATACAGATGTATATTTATCACGATGCGATGCTTTTGCATTGACCTTATTCATTAATATTACCATGGCGCCAAACAACTTAACAAGCAATGCAAATTAACAAATAAATGCGAAAAATAATCAACTAGTGAAAAATAAATGGATAATTGAATTATATAAAAATACCTGATCCCAACCAAAGTTATTCCATTCAAGGGAAAGGTTTTTGGCGATGGTAAAAGGCCCATTCTCATAGAACAGAGCTAATTCGCTACTACAACCAGGCCCTCCTGTTAACCAGATCACAACTGGGTCCTCCTTGTTATGTCTTGATTCAAAGAAAAAGTAGAACATCCTACACATGAAAAAAAATACAGATAAAACCATTAATATCCCAAGAAATTAGAACAGTTATCTTGATATATACGTAATTAAACTTGGATGGCATCAAAACCTGTTACAGTATTCAACCTAAGTAACGGGAATCTAGAGCCAAACAAATTCCCATTGTGATTCATAAAACATTTAACTAGGCCCTTGTTGATGCATGCATGACATGGCATAAAGTTGGCCTTTTGTTAAATATGAGCTATTATCTTGGAGCACGCAATGCGTGCATGACACGAAACATGGAAGAGTGCCGTAGCCAAATTGTCAAAGGGAAATAGGAAAGAGCGTGTCACAGTCGAATTGTCAAGGGAATGAATGATATGTTACATTTTAAAGAGAGCAGTTCTTTAGTTTTTTGAAAGTAATTTCGGTATTCTATAATTACGACTCGTACAGACCAAAAAGGAAAGTTTCTCTTAACATATAATATGGATAGATCATGTCAACAACGCTACTTTCATAATTATCCATCACAACGATCAATTTAACTTGCCTACAAAAATTGAAAGAATGTTTCCCCCAATAAATGAAGGAACGAGACCCCAGAAAATGGGGTGGGGGGGTAGGTCGAGATGTGACCTTGCGTCATGGGTGTGGTTCAATTTGAAGTAGCCAGCATGCCGGCCGAGCTCCTTAACTGAGGTGCCACTAGCGGAGCTCGCCTCCACAATGTGCTTTCCCAAATCTTCAGAACCTCTTCCAATAGCATCATCATTAGCATCTCGGGGGTCGAGATTGAGCGAGCGGATGAGCCTGTCCACATTTTCGATCGGAGACCTCGCGATCGCAGGGCGCATGGGACCGAGGTCGGGGACTCGGATTGAGAGTGAGAATGTAGGGAAGAAGAAAATAACCGAGAGGAGGAAGATGAAGGAGGCGGTTTTCGCCATCTTTTCGGGGGTTTGAAGGGAGAAGGTTCAGTCTTCAGAGGGGTTTATATAGTGATGCATGTTGTTTGTCACTTGAGAGTTA